GCTGGGTTCCTACTTGGAAATTTATATTTTGTCTGCTTAAAATGGCTTGAGTAATTTTGGTTGGAGGAGATGTGCTTCTCTACGTCAGTATGAAAACCTTTGAGTGATATCACCACCCTGGGAGCCTCCCTTATGGAAAGATGTTGTAGACTTGCATTAAATCTGGTCCTTTTCCTTGTAATTTTCTGTTAAATGATTCTCACCTTCAGTGTAAAATGTTGCAAGGGCATTAAAATGGTAGTTTAGAAATAATTATCTGAGGTACTACTTTCTTTTCCATAGCATCTTCTGGCTTCTTTCCTAATAACTTGTGAAACTTTTTGATAACTCGTGATGTAAATATGACTGTGAAGTAGAGGGAAGTGGCTTCTAAATGGCTTATCTCTGAACTGCAAAAGTCACCCACCTGATGCTCGTTGTGGAGAGAGCTCAAGCATATGAGTCTCATAGAGATGATGGCCAGAAAACAGTTTTCTGTACATGGCTACCTGGGAGGATTCCTTTGAAAGGTTACTTTGAACATTGCTGGGCACTGTGATTTGGCTGCTGTGAGCAAAAAGATTTAAAAATGTATTAAAATTTTAAACTTTTCATATATTTTTTACAGTCCATTAGAAATTAAAATAAACTTATATAAAGGTAGTTCACAGAGTATTTGAAATTGAAATAAAGAACTGGCATTTCAGCAGAAGAGTGGATCACATAGGTGGTCAGGCCTGTGCCTCTGACTTCCAGTCTTCCTGTTGCCCTCACATCTGGTGCAAATTTTGTGCAGTTTATGTACAATGTGAATTTTATGAAGACTTATATTCAAGTTCTAATATTTTTAAAATGAGGCTTTTTTTCTGAAGGAAGGATTCTAGACATGAAAATGCAACATATTTTTTGCATTTGTACGTATGTACCCAAACCCACATATTTGATGCTGAGGTATAGAATCATAGCATCATAGAATAGTTTGGGTTGGAAAGGACCTTAAAGATCATCTAGTTCCAAACCCTGCCATGAGCAGGGACCAGATTGCTCCAAGCCCCATCCAGCCTGCCCTTGATCACTTCTAGGGAGAGAGCATCTGCAACTTCCTTGCGCAGACTGTTCCAGTGTCTCATCACCCTCACAGTAAAGAATTTCTTCCTAATGTCTAATCTACCCTTTCCAGCTTAAAACTGTTATCCCTTGTCCTATCACTACCCTGTCTGATAAAGAGCCCCTCCCCAGCTTCCCTGTAGACCTTTCAGGTACTGGAAGGCCACTATAAGGTCCCACTGGAGCCTTCTCTTCTCCAGGCAGAACAACCCCAACTCTCTCATCCTGTCATCACAGGAGAGGTGCTCCAGCCCTCTGATCACCTTCATGTGCCCTATAGATGGGCATAGTTTTATATGTGATTGAGATTTACAGATTTAAAGATTTTATAAACTTAGTTCATCAAACATAAGGAAATGGCAGCAGTGGAAAAGGAGTACAAACCTTTTCATTTCAATTTTCTCAATCCATGTCTCTAGGGCATCTTGTTGGCAACCAGGAGATGGAGAGGCCCCATCAAACTCTGTCAGTGAAGACTGCCTGTATCTGAACATCTTTGTTCCTGCCACCACTGTAAGTAGGAGGAGACTTGAATATTTTTGGTAGCTGGGCACTGCCTCTTCAAAGTACTTATAATTCGCATGAATGACTGTTTTTCTTGTGGTGTTCACAAAGCCCAGCAAGAGTAAATTAGCCATTCTATTGTTTGTACTGGTGCAAGGGTATTCCCTATGGGATTTCTGCGAGCTGTGTTTGGGCAACTAGAAAGACAGAAAATTAGAAAGCTAGAATTAAAAGTGAGACAATAACACAATATAACACATCACATGAACTCTTACCACCAGTTGAGAGGCAGCAAATATTTTTTTTTCACCCTGATCTTTATTGTTCCCCTGTTGCCATCTGTGGGAACTGTTGAGGAATGAGGGTAGCAAGAAATGCTCAACCCACAGAGCACAAAAATAGATGTTTTAAGGATGACTGAGCCAATGTTACAATCTGATACATTTGAAAGCTCTTGAATTTCTCATTCTAAACATACAAAGTAAAGCTTCAAGTCAGAGCCAAGTTCGGATGATTGGCCAAATCCCTGGGGGCCTGGGGGTAAAGATGCTCAATAACATGCAAATCCCATTTGAAGAGGGGCCCAGAGCAGAGGAACAGAGTTTTTCTTTCCACAATACTGGTAATTTTCAGAAGGTGACGGTGGATGTAATAGAAATTTATGAGTCTGTCATACTGCATGGTTAGAAAGAGCTGGTCCAGTGCTTTGCCAGCACCACACAAAGTCTCTCGCAGGCCCTTTTAATCACCAGAAAGACCAGCAGTCTGTTTTCTCCCTGCAGTACCAGACTGTCGTTTTGCCTTGACTGCAGTCATTGCTTATTGAAACCATCAGGTCAGTGTCCCAGGCAGTTTGCCATCTCTGCTTAAGTGCTGCATTCAAGGTGGCTTATTTGAAATCATTGTATTTTCTGCCACCTGATAGACTAAGTAGGCTTGTCTTTTCTCCTTGGTGAGAACTGTCTTTTTTTAGAGGTGTAAGGTAGAAGTAGGTCTGAGCCAGCCAGTCAGTTTCACATGGGTAAGTCTGGCCCAAGAGAGAACCAAAACTTCTGTATTTGCAGAAGTAGCTGGGAGCAGAAGACATGGCATTTTCCTGTTTCTCTTTGTTGCAAGGTCTATTTTTTACTTACATTCAGAGAGCTATAGTTATATATTTTCAGCCCATGGAAAGTTAACTTAGCTAGTAAATACTGAATATAAAACCTCCTGGAAAGTAGCGGATGCAGAGGCCGTTCAGGAGCATTTTTGAGCCTGAACCAGAGCACAGTGCAGGTCCTGCTGCCTGTCACCAAGGGACTCTTTAAGTGTCAAGCAGTGAAGAAGGTGAATGACATCAGCTCATTTTGCTTCCATACCTACGTGTACCACATAACTCTCCAAATAAAACTGGCACTTCTGAGAGACTTTTTTCCACCTATAACCATCACCACCTGTCACACTAGCAAAGCTGTGCTTCAGCTTGATTTGCCAAGGGTTCAAATGTAAGACAAAGAAACTCCCCACTAAATAAGAATAGAAAATGTATTCCCTCTCCTCACATCCCCTGTATGTGTTTTTCCCATCCTTATCTCGTAATTCCTGTTCCACTCAATTCTGTATAGAGCAATATTGTACCACAGTAAAAACACTTGAGGTTGCCTGGCTCAGTAGAGTTTAAATCTATGGCTGCCATGTAGCTCATTAAATGTTTTCCTGAATATTATAAAACCTTTCAGATTTCTATCTGACTTGCAGCTTCCTGGTGGGTGCTAAACTTCTCTCCCCCTTGAGCGTTTGCATGTGGGACCTAAGCCCCTCTAGGCATGAGCCCACAGTGGAGCTACTGGGCTCCCCGAAAGACATTCCCCTGCCAGCTAGGCCATCTGACAGTGTCCCAGCTGGAAATCTTTGCACATATTTTGCACCTCAAGATGCAACAGTCTGTTTGGTTTTTTTGGTAAATACTGAGCACAGCCTTGCACTGGGCACTAGCCATGTGGCAGCTGTGGCAGCTCTGTGAGGAACATGCTGGCCCCACTTTACTCAGCCAGCTGTGTGCCCAACATGTGCCCCACTGCAGCCTGGCATGGACACTGGCAGTGCTGCATCTCAGCCGGGTACCAAATGGTGGGGGGTAAAGAGACTGGATTCAGCAGGCTTTGGATCAAGTCTTGTGTTTCTCCTCCCTTGAATCTCTTTAGTCTGGCTGATTTAATTGCAGTAGTTCATTGAATTTGACTGAGAACAAGACTTGGGGGAAACTCACTTATATTAAGAAAAAAATTGAAATAAAATTATCCAGCAGCTCACATATAGGGAGAAATTAATTGGCCACTAAATATGTCTATAAATAGAGAGATTATATGAAATATCTCATAGTTCAATTATAGCTGAATACAACTGTGCTATGTTGTTAAAATGGCTAACAAGAAATTGAAAGTCAATGATGTGAAACAGCCTTTGCCTAAAATGCCCAGATCCGTGAGCTCTGAGATTGAAATCCCTTGGGATTAAAACCCAATTTATATTTTTTTTTTCATGATAGGTTACTTTTACATAGGAGAGGGATCCATTTGCTTGATCCAGACTAGAAATGGGAACACAATGTCCAGGCATTTGGCACTAGGCACAGCCCCAGTACTAACTATTCCCCTCAATTGCTCCATATCCGTTGTACCAGGCTTTGTTTTGTCCTTTTTTAACTTATATTTCCCATCTTAGCCTTTCTTAAGCTTCTCATCAGTAGAACATTGGGTAAAGTCACTCAGCGTAATGTAATACACAGGGCAGCTGAAGATCATGGTGAACAAATGCTGTGGACATGTGGGTAATGTCTAGTTTCAGCCTCCACCTTAACCATGCTGAGCTGAGGAGGGGGAGCAGGCTCAGCATCATGTTTGACACCATTTGAGCTGACATGGATCAATGTGGTTGTATTTTAGAATGAATTTCCATGTGAAAACAGTATTTTTTTTCTTTGCTTCCATCTCTCTGTGCCACGTGCAGTGCAAAAACGGGAAGCAAGGACAAGCCACTGTGAATTAGGCAATTTCCATTCAGGAGCAGAAGTTCCTGAAAGAGAGCAGCATGTTTCAGTGCTTTCACTGTCTGTGTTTTTCTTGGTGGCATCATCTTATGTTCACAAGAAGCCTCTGAAGTGATTCTCCAGAAAGATAAGTGAGGAATGCACACAGTCATGACAAATTGAGGGCAGTTTGCCTTCTATCCTGTACTTTTGCAGGAGGCTGCAACCATCACTTCTCCCTTGCTTCTCCCAGTCACATTTTTGTTGGAGACATCCTTTGCCAAAGCAGATGGGACTGCTGTGTTTAGCTAAGCTGCCTCCAGAAAATAGCAGCAACAGAGCCCAGTGCCCTCCAACTGCAGAGAAAAACAAACCTCAGATGTACTTTGATGCTGCTGCAGGGGCCACCAGCCCTTCTTTGAAAAATACCAGCAGCTGCCAAAGCAGAAAGAGGGACAAGCTGGTGTTTGTGACCTGCTGATGAGCAGAGGAGAGAGTACCCTCCTTTAGGATAGTCCCAAAGTGAGCAATAGTGGATAAAAGTACTGAGTGGAAAATTGAAGTTACACTCTGAAAAAGCCTTTTAAGCACTGGAGAAGGTTATTCTGCTTTTTGCAGCAAAAAGGAAGTGTGGGGGGGAGAGGGGGGGGAGGGGTGGGGGGAAAGGCAAAAAACAAACCCAAACCCCTCCATACATTTCACTGGTATTTGTGCTGAGTGTCATCTTGACAGAGCTGTGTACTCCTGGTAGATGCTGAGGTCTCCTGGGCACTTCTGCTTTTGTGCTGCTGTTGCAGCAGCAGCCTGGCTGCAGCCCTGCTGCCTGTGCAGGGGCTGTTCACACAGATGGGTTGCTGCTTTAGGAAGAAGCCTCAGTTTCTGAGCAAAATTGGGTGGCTTTGCAAGGAGTGCAAATATGGGCAGCCACCCATTGTAGCTCCTTCCCATCCCAGAAGTCCTACTGGTCTCTCTCAGGACAGACTCCCTCTGTGCTTCATGGGAGGTGAGTCTGTCTGGTGCAGAGACCAAGTCTTCTCTGCAGAACACTTCTACATAGCTAGTAGGGGAGAATCTCTATGGGGATTGAAGAAGCAATGAGGAGCTCTTGTCAAGTGAGATTTTTGAGACGAGGCAGTGCTTAAGTGCTGAAGACTGGAGAGCAGAAGGCAGCCCTGCATAGCTGTCGAGTTAGTCCTAGATGAAGCAGTCCAACATGCCATTTTCTTCTGTTTTCCATGTTTTTGAACTTTTCCTGTGTGTCTTTATAAAGCAGACATGTTACAGCAAAGACTAGCCCACCACAGGCTCAATGGCCAGGTCAGCAATATAGGTCTGACTTGAGCTAACCTTGTAGAGTTGTTGGCTGGTGGAACCCGATGGTGCCATTAAATCTTCTTTATACTGGACCTAGTGTGCTCTTCAGTGGTATAGAACTCATTGTGGACAATTTAACCCTAGAATTTCAGACAGACCATAGAACTATGGAATGTTTTGGGTTGGAAGGGACCTTAATCATCATCTAGTTCCACCCCTACCTGCATAAGCAGGGACACCTCCCACAAGACCTGATTGCTCCAAGCCCCATCCAGCCTGTCCTTGAACACTTCCAGGGAGGGGAAATCCACAACTTCCCTAGGCAACCTGTGCTAGTTTTCTCACCACCCTCACAGTGAAGAATTTATTCCTAATGTCTAGCATACATCTCCCCTCTTCCTCTCCCCTCTTCCCCTTGTCCTCTCACTAAAAGCCCTTGTAAAAAGTCCCTCCCAGGCTTTCCTGTAGCCCGTTCAGGTACTGAAAAGCCCTATGAGGGAAACCTATGAGATTTCCCCAGAACCTTCTCCTCTCCAGGCTGAAC